ATTAGACAATGGCACATTCAATAATGCAAAACTGTCCATAATTAACTTGGTGATGTTGCACCCTGTTGAAGGGCCTTCCAGGGTGCTTAAAAAAAGCAGTCTGCTTTCGATAAGGCTCGATTCTTCTGCAGAAAAGGTGGCGAAGATGGGGTACAGCTGTGCTTGGCTGTCGTACGAGCCGTCAGTGGCAACCGCAAAAACTCATCTTTTCAAGGCACTCACCCCATACTCTTGTGCATGGCCTGCCATTTTGCCGACAATCATTGTCGTCTCAGTTCTAGCACAGCTGTAGCACTTCGCAACATTGCATTTTGAAAACATATCTCGCAAGAAGTGTCCCACGTGGTCGGAGACACTCAGCAAAATGCTGTGCTCAAGCAGAAAGACGGCAAACAAGCATTCCGCACGTATCCCTTCATTGTCGCAGTCTTGCTTACCGAAAAATTGTTGCATTCGATACTGTTTCTCCTGGCACTGAACGTTGTTGGTGTGCTTCTTGGACGAAACGTGCGCAACCACGTCAGCCCTGCCGCCATGGGATATACTGGTGTCGCACTTACTTAAGGTGCAGAACGCATGGTGCTCACCTTTTTATGAGACAGTAACACAAGCGAACTCTGCCGTATACTGCTTCAAGAACACCTGAAGATATTTTTTTCACTCTTTGCCGAGTGCCATGGCTGACAGCAACACAACACTGGCGCTAGCCACGCTAACAGCGCTCGCGACACAAGAACACAAGCACATGCTCAGAGAAAGAACGGCAAGTCGGTGTGTCAGCGGTGTCAGTGCTATCACTCAGCGACATCAGCGTGGAGAATGCAGTAGAATCCGACGCTAGCGCTGCCACACCTGCGTTGCACCTCACCGCTCATAGAGTGGCGGCGCTGCATTCACATACTCGGAGAAGTACCAGCAGGCTCGCTCGCTTTTACGACTGTTCCGCTTTGTCGACTAGGCACATTCAAGCTCTTCAACGATGACGATGAAAATCGGCACTCCGCGCGGGTACAGTGGCTAGAAGAAGTGTGATAGGGAGCTGTCGCCTGCATGCGTTGCGGTGATTCACGGCCTAGGTGGCACGTGCACCCGCTTTCACGTCGGCGCGCTGCTGGCATAGCCATGGTAGCCATGGTTTTTTATGAATTTTGCGTTAGCATCATTAGTTTTTACTTGAGCTGGCACTTTCCACAAGTAACTAACACATCTATAGTTGAGTCGTAGGGTAAAAGAAGTCGCTGATTGCTTAAACAATTTTGTTTTTCCCCTCCTTTCTTTTGTGAACCCAGTGTAACACAAACCTCCAGACTCCCATGTCCTTTTCTTTACGGCATGCACTGTGACTAAGATGTATAGCAACACTGCAAAAACTACCTTCTTACTACTTGCCAAACTTGTTAGTTTTAGTGCAAAGCTAAAAACACAAAAAAAAAGACAAGAACACACATGTTTAGCAAACTCGGGCACCAACTCACTCAAGAACAAGTTCTTGAGTTCCTTACTGTTTCTTTGCAATTTCATTATTAAAACAGTGGTGCCTTCGCACTTCCCCGGGATGCAAATACACCAAGAATCTGGTGCCACGACCCTGAAAGTGGCTGGAAAAGGATCACCAAACCGTGGTCGCATGTAACCGTTTTTTCGGGCTCAGGATTGAAAGGACTCAGGTCGACGAAGCAGTCAATTTTACCAAAGCCACCTTTCACAGCAAAATTCTCAGCCAACTTCATCTTATTGATGACGAGTTCACCGTGACACTCAAATTCAGTCATTTTTTGTTTTTTTGGCCATTCCTGAAAGCACATTGCGATTAAAACCAAACATGCTCTCGTACTGCTTCATGTACTTTTTGAGGCAGCTACGACTTCGTAGAGCAAAAATTGTTTCTCTACGTATATGCTCATACAGCTGTGTGCTCTTTATGCGCATAATGATGAATTCAAGGAGCCATTCAGAGTTATACCGCATCCCCTTTGGAGATTTTCGTTTCGCAGCCACAAAACACTGAATAATGGCAACCTTCTGCTTAGGTGGAAGCTGACCGATTTTCTTCAGGAGGGTGGCTTCTTCAATTGCCTAACTTTCTTCCTTCATTTGGGAGATCACTTACTCTAGCGACTTCACCTTGGTTCTAAGGCCTCGCACTGCCCGAGTCTTCACTCTCAGCTTTGATGAGGTATTTCTTCTAGTATTCTTCATTTGCTTCGCTCGGCACCTTTGGTTAATTAGGAGTCTCCTCAGATACTTGCACGACACGCACCATTTTTCATGCTGGCTTGATACACTTTTACACCTAATGTAGTACAGAGTACCATTCCATTGCTTTGAATTTGCGTTGGAGCACGCTAGCGGAAACTCCACACTCAGTCCTACTCCAGTGCAAGCACGCAGGCTGTCGACCTCTTGCAAAATAGATGCTGGATCTCCTGGCACATCAAGCGTGACCTCGACACCCCGCACAAACACATCATGTTTTATCACACTTTCGATGCATCTAAACACCACCATTTTCAGCACATGTCTCAGCACAGCTCGCTCATGTCTTTTCCAGGTAAACACACGCTGTAGGCCATGTGAAGGGTATTTTCACTGAACACGTGCTTCGCCCACTGGTTGGTTGGAAGTGGCACATTCAAGAGTTCTCGAACATGTGCAGCTGGAGCATCAACAGTAGCACATACTTCTTCAGCATCAACAACTTCAGAATTTGGGCAACACGTTCCATCCATGTGACGTCTTCTTTTAGGCCACGAGGGCTGTGACGCTGGCTTCTCCCGTGCACTTCTTTTCTTCGGAACTGGCTTCGAGAGGTATTTGGGCAAATCGGAAAATATAGTCGGCACAGCGTTTGGCAGGAGAACCAGCCTGGTCTGACTAATGCGCACCGATTCGCCTTGTATTACATGCTCGAAATGCCACGACGCAAACTGCGGATCAAAATGCAACTCACATACTGCTGCATTTCTCTCCAGCGGCTTGTCAGCTCTGGGTATGTTCCGCTGCCACTTCAGAATTGTAACCAGTCACGCAGCCGGGAACAAAACAGTGGCTTTGTCGCCGGCACATTTTACAAGCCTGGCCATCGAATTGCCCCACATCCAAGTGCAAACTCTTCTAGGATGCTTACAAAGCACTGCGAAGGCAGTTAACTGTGTCGACAAAGAATTTCACACGTATTAAGCACTTTACGGGCAGATCGAAGCTCAACTGATTGCTCCTGACCGGACAAATGCACGCGAACTTGACGTGTATTCGACAGCGAGTGCCACCTAGCGGATGCATAGCTAAGCGGCGTCAGCCCTTCCCATAAACGCCGCTTGGTGGTAATTACACTTCTCCTAACCACTGTAGCGCGGGTGCATTGATGCTAGGTTGCCAAACAGGAGCCCACTTTAGGACAAACACGCGGGCACTTCCGGAAGATTTCTTTCTCGGTCGTACAATCGTACAAAGCGGTCGAAATTCGGGAGTCTCCCGGGCAAATCGGGAGACCTGGCAGATATGAAGTAGCAAGCAGGAGTGTCTGCTGTTTTTTTTTTTTTTTAATCTCCAGTCGTCAACTGAAAGTCTGCTCTATCCAAGTAATTTAAAGCATCAATGAGAAGAAAAAAGGAAAAATACTCACACACTCCTCCATTGCATGAAGTTTTGTTGTATTCCTTGATTTCGCTACAGTGATAATTGCCTCAACAGACTTTACTGCAAAGTTTGGTTAATGACTCGCAGTCTTCAGATGCCATTGAGGAGCACTTCATTTAAATAATAGGAACAGTTTCGTTTCTGCACATATTATGTGAAACTAGACCACTTGTTACTGAGCCTCAAGGAAGCGAGCTTCACTGCCAAAACAAATCTCCCTCCCAATGCCTCGATTAGCTTTCTTTAGCTGTGAACACTCCCAACTGCTAGAAACAATGGAGCACTCATATCCATTTGGGTGTTTGGTCTTTTCAAAAACAAAACAAGAAAACACCCACAAGACCTGAATGTTTTTTTAGGCAGCCTGAGCAAGCCTGGAGAACCCTTCACGTTTGTTTGCAGGTGGCCACAATCAGCTGATCGCACTCCTTGGCACGTGCAACCGCCAACCGACGCAGCACTTCCGCGAAAGGATCCCCGCTCGCTTATCAGCGTTGCTTTTGGTGTGTTCGCAGTCGCACCACGCGGGGAGCTCCAAAAAGTGGGACAGCTGCCGGCTTCCTTATCGCGTCTTCTTTTGGAAATGATATCTGGGAAATCGTTGCAGACACACCCACGAAAACGACAGGAAAGGCGCTGGCAAGGCGACACCCTCAAAGGGCAACTGATAAGAGTTATAGATAAGGTGGCTCAAAATTTCCTCTAGTAGAGGAGGCGGGATGAAACGCTAGCACACATCTTACAAGCCCCTCGAGAAAAGTATGAAGATGTACTACTTTGTTCCTCACACTTTGGTGCAGACAGGAGAGACCACTCAGTATTAGTTAAGACTGCTTTAATGCGCAAGGGCAAGTGAGGCTATGCTGCACCAATAAAAGATCATAAAATATCAATAGTACATTAGGAGATAATGCATTCACTGCAATTCTTAAAACTAAATTAAAAAAATTATATTATACAAGAAAATTGATCAGAACAGTCAGACGTCCAAACACATAATGAATGAACATGGGTGAACTCGTATTATAACTGGAGGTGCATTTCGTGAGCAAGATTCTCTTTTTTTTACTACACTGAGAAAGTTGCATAGTAAATCAGCAGATCTGGAACTTGAACTGTATGCAATAGAAGAGGAATGAATGTTCTAAACCAATTTGAACAAAAGTTACTGATGGTAAGTTTAACATTCTTGAGTGAGTTGATGCCAAACTTGGACTTTGCTATTCTTCAAGCTGCAACCTCAACATCAATCACCTGTTGCTGGTGATGTTACTGTGAACCTGTCAAAAGGTGCCCAAGCTAATATGCTCAAATATCACCACCCCTTGTCCTGTACAAAAAAGCAATAAAAAAAGCAATACCTGGATCAGGGCATTTCTGTAGTAGCGAATGAGCGATGGGTCATAGCCGGCTGGCTTGTCATCACAGTCAGCGTACTGAACGTCAGTCAAGACGCCAAAGGTCAGGAGAGACTTCTCAGTTGATTGAGCGACGTTGCTGCAAAGAAGAGTTATTATAACTACAAGGGCAGTTAAGGAACAAGCTTTTCCAATAGCACGAGCCTGAAACGTTTGTTCGGTTTGTTTACAAGGTCTAATATACTCAAACAACTCGGCCTAGGAGGCTGTAGCGGAAAGCTCAAGATAACTCCTATTACATTGAGTTCCTGTATATGCACTGAACATGGGCATTTAACCTTGGTCAAAACGAAAATCTCACAGCTGGGACTGAATTCCCATCTTTTGAGATGGCAGCCGAGCACTATAACAGGTGAACCACCACACTGGTGGCCTTAAGAGGAGATGCAATTCGTAAAAAACAATGCATTAATCTGCAGCCTGGGGCAATGAAATTTCCGCAACATATATAGGCTTCTATGCTGATTTCAAATGTGTATTTGGTTTTACAATAAGTTGCACAGCTTTCATTTTGTCTTATGACAATGTGGAAGTATAGTTCATTACGGATAAACTTTTTAAGCCACTAAACATTTGTAGTTATTAGCCATTAATGGCTAATAACTAATAACTAATGGCTAAATTAATTACATGTAGAATGCCAATAACTATCAAGAAAGATTGTATAAAATGTTTTGATGGTTATAAAAAATTATAATGAGAGAATTCTTACAATCCTCAGCCCACACTAATTGCTTACTTTAGGTTTATAATAATTATACATGCGATATCAGACTTTAAAAAATATACTTGCACCCTTCACAAGTTAAGAATTATGTGGACATAATTTCATCTCTATCGGGCTATCAGAAGTGCCAAAAACATGGTGTCGAAACTCAAGAAGTTGCTAAAAAATTAATGCTGAGAAAAATGCACTTCTAAGATATAAGTGAACGCTCATCTATGCAAAAAAGATATTACGTATTACGTCGCGTATGTGCCAGACTGAGAAGAGGGATTAGAAGTGTGGACTTAAGAGCTTTGTCCTGTGCGGCCTCGCCATTTGAGCCTTCCACTCAATAAACCACAGCACCCCTACTTCAGACGTAGTAACATGTTCCTTAAGACGATTTATTCCATCATAAGGGCTTGGCAATCGTGTTTATTTTAAACATGTAGATTTAGTAAACCCCTCATGCAAAATGCAATGGCATGCAGCCAAGTGACAATTTTCAGGGTACTCTAGAAAGTGTGTTCGTTTTAGTTTTTAGTAGCTACCTTGTGTTCGTTAAAAGCAGTTTTAACATACTTTACATTTAATTACAACCTTCAATTTTTTTTGCCATAAAAGTAGGAAAACCAAACATATGAAGCAAACTAAAATGAAAAATATGTAATTTTGAAAAAAAAAAAAGTTTTTTGGCTTGCATCTCCTTAAGCCTAAAGGAACAATAAAAGCACATACTAAATCACTCGAGCCTAAAAACACCGCTTCATAAACTTTGCCAATTTTCTATCAGAAGATTTGGCCCATGGGGTCGAAGTAAAAGCCAGACATTAAAACCATACACTAGAATCCTAAACTGAATGAATAAGACAAAATAGTGGTATTTATTGTGAAGGGCATGCACGTACGAGGTAAATTTCTCTATTATTGAGTGCAGAACAACTCGGTGCACCGAATATGCTGCCAGTCTAAAAAAAAACGTAATAAAATAAATCTTGCAGACATGTCCAATAACACAGCAGGCTAGCGAACGTGGAGGCTACCTGCGAACAACATTCTGCACGGATCGCAAAACATTGCATTCATGCAAGGATCGTGAATGCGAATGCATTTATGCAAAACGATTCATGCAAGGATCGCAAAACAGGGCATTTGTATCGGGCTTTTATTTGACTTCTAATTGAAGGCAGCTAGTCAAACCTGCGAGTACAAACTGTAGACTACCCCAACAACAAGCTCTGCTGAGAAACATGTTTTTATGCTTATCCAAATGTTGAAGTGGTAATCTTATCTTTTTGTGCACAACTGATAAGGTGTCCCACATGTCACCAGCCCGAACTATGCTGCAAGAAGTGTATGGTATAAATATTCAAAGGGTGCTACTCGGATAGAAGGGCCTAAGCTAGTAAAACAGTGTCCATGCATAGAAGTTCACGCAATTTCTAGCGATGCCACCGTTTTTGTGAAAGGCCAACATTGTGCCCACAAATCTAAAATAAAATCATTTATACCTAAGCAATGTCGAAGCCACTGAAAGGCCACGAATATACTGTAGACACCAGCATTACATCTAACTGCATTATGTCAAATCAAGCATTTTCAAAGTCTTGCACAGATATGGGGCCGTAACAGAAGAGGCCCTTAGGGCATTTGATGAGCATAGACTAGATTGAACTGTATATCTATTCGTGAAGGTATTTCAGGTACAGCTTTGCATAGTTTCTAGATAAACTATGAAAAGTGGTAAGCACCCCTGATAATAGTAATGATAATTTGGCAAGAGAAACCTAAAGGATGTCCTCAGCAAGCACCTTGTCAGGAGGACGCAATTGCAAGAAGAAAATTGGGGAACCTTTGAACTTCTCAAGCGAGCACTGCACATACAGGGGAAGAAGTTGTCTTTCTCAAACGTGATAGCCATATCCTGTCCCTAGTGCGTACAGAGTTCGAAATGGCTTGTGTCAGTGAAACATTCGCATACAGCTGCATTCTGTGAAACGGCTAGTATGCTTTAAACCATGGGCAATGACGCATGAATATTTCTGGAACTTGATATGCACCCACAGTCCAGGCTGTTTTTTTTTTTTGCCGTTGCCACCGCCGCTATCCTTCACCATATATGTATACGTATCCATATAAATGAACACTCAAAGAAAACAAATTGGCCCCGTATCTGAATGTTCTCTGCAAATGTCGTCGAAAGACGATAGTCTTGCGTGTTGAGAGAGTGAACCAAACATTTATTTGATGTTCTGTACAAGAAATAGGTGAATGGTATTCTGGAGGAGCTGCGTTCGAGTGCCTCGAGCATGCAGCAGAAGCGAATGAGCGCATCAACTCACGTCACACGTGAGTCATGAGTGCTACCTGGCAGTTTCCTTGGAAAACGTAGCGCTTGGCTCCGAGACAGGCGTGCGCGCCCGTCTCAGAGGTGATAAGGTGTAGAACACAAGGCGACGGGTAGGTGCCACTACCGTCTCGTCTTAGCAAAGCGTTGGAAATACTCGCCTTTTCGTGCAAGCGTTGCATCGTGAGCGCAGTGTGATAAGCGCTACGGTCTTTAGAATTACTTATGTGTGCCTTTTCTAGTAAAAGACGCACTTACAGTGTGAGGGCTGGGCGGGCTAGGCATGAAGGCTGAGAGGCGTTGTGAACGAGGAGAATGCGCTTTATTCGAACATGAAAACGTGCCGACCGCGCCGGAGGCGGGAGCGAGATTGATAAAACGTGTCCCCGGCCCTCGCTTGGGCTTGGAGTTTATCTGAGTAAAGGCGCCGCAGGTGGCGCTGCCGATTAGATAGGCCGCTACGCTATAGTGCGCATGCGGGCGCTCACATCCGGCCCCTCCTTGTCTGACCAAGTCCCATTGGTCTAGGAAAGGAGCACTACTTGGTGGCTTCACTGCGAGAGAGAATAGTCCTTCAAGCGCTCGGGTGGGCGCTTTTGGCGGTGAGGTCGCGAGGAGGGTACCGCTGGAGGCAAAACTGCAGGGCCAAGGGAAACTGGTGTATGAGATAACTCATTGCCAACACTGGGAGAGCCAGATAAGTCACACAAAGGCCACTCTTGGGTTTTCACAATGTAAGGCTCGACATAAGGTGGCACGTAGTGCTTGAGTTGAGAGGCGTGCACTATCCTGTCTTGGAGTCGATCACGAGGACCTTGACCAGTTACGCGGCTAACGACAAACGTAACGGGTGTTTTCTGGTTGGTGATTTGGTATATTCCCTTGAATTTGGGTGCCAACTTTCCAGTTCCATCTGCTACAGGCTCTTGGCGGCGCACCCAGACGAACTGGCCGACTTGGAAGGAGTGGTCTCGATGGGACTGATCATATGCTGTCTTCCGTTTCCCTTGTGCTTCCTTACGAACGCGAACTTGCCAGTAAGCAAACTTTAGGTCAAGGCAGGCGAAGTACTGTGACCCAGCAATGTCACCATGATGTCATCCGCATGTGGAAGTGGTTGCACGACGTTCACAGTCATCTTGTTTAGGGGCACATAGTTAACACAAAGGCGCTTCTTGCTACCTCGGCTGACAACCACTGCGGGGAATGCCCAAGGTCCTAAGGCTGGTAGAATGATGCCTTGCCGAAGGAGTGTGCTTATTGAGCCTCAAGAAAACGACGGTCTGCAGCCGAGTAACGGTAAGGGGATCGACTGTATGGCACAGCATCGGGAAGAAGGTCGATTGAGTGTTCAACACCCTCGTACAGACCTAAGTCATCCTCTTCACGAGCGAATACTTCAGCGTGCTTCGAAAGAATGCTCGTGATTTCCCGTTGTTGGTGTGCTGGCAAATGGCTACCAACCTGAGCGGCAGGCAAGGATGGGTCAATGCAAACCTCTATTGTTGAAGAAGCACCTCGCCTGCATTCAGAAGACGGGCCGTTGGTGTTTGAAAACCTCATATTGACAAGATAGTGCTAACCACGGGGGTTCATCTGGGCCTGGGAGTGGCATTCGCTGGAGGCCTGCTGAGCTGTGGTGTCCAGATACATGGTAATTGAAAGATGACCCCTGGATCATAACAGCGTTCGACATCCTGGGCAACAGTCGCTCATAGCACCGCACACTTGTTCCTGTGGTGGGATGACGAATTTCAGTTGGCATGGGTGGCTGGAACACCAACTGTGCGTGACTGGCAGCAAACCAGTCTTCCCCCAATATAAGTGGCATGGCATTGTTATCGAGGACGGCGGCTTCCACCAAACCGGTGATGGGTCCCACAGAGATCTTCAAGCAGATAGCACCAGCAGGAGCCACTGTCGTTCCTCCAACGACAACTAGAGGGGGTCTGGTCCAGGGCAGGAGGGGCAAAGATCTGACAAGGTGACGAGAAACAAGTGTCACCTTGGAACCACTGTCTGGAAATGCGTCCACTTGGCCGCTTCCAGCAATTGTGGCGTTTACAAGGGCGCATTGGACCAGCGATCCATCAAGGGTCTCGGAAAGTGTGCTGTGAAGAGCTGGCGAAGGATGCGTTGTAGACTGTGTGACAGTAGCTCTGGATGGGCACTTTGAAGCTAGATGTCCTTTTTGGCGGCATTGAAACACACGGCTTCGGCCAAGTTCTGGCCAGAACGGTAGGCAGGAGCGCCGTGCCTCGTAGAGATGGTCAGGTACCGAGCCTCTTGTTGGTCTGGTGGTAGGGCTGCGATTCGCTGCGGCTGTCTTGTTTTGTCTGGTACCGCCTGAACATTCGTGCGCTCTTCACTGTGGTGGGGCACCTGTGGGCTTGGCATTACTAGTTTGGTGCTTGAATACCCTGGGCGTGGGAGTCGACGAGACAAGTGGCTCAATGTTTGGTCAAGCTGCGTTACGATGTCCATATAGGCGGCGACGGTTTCTGGCCGTTGTGCTGCTATAGTAGTGGCCAGGTTCTCGTCGGAAATGCCCTGAAGGGCGTACTCTATGCGCTGAGTGTCGGTAAGAGTGACTGGGCATCCCGAAATGAGCTTCAACTTCGCCAAAGAATAGTGGACCAGGTTCTCTCCGTGCGCTTGCACGCGACAAGTAACAGCTTGTTGCCACTGTAGTAAGGTTTGCTTGGCGCTGAATTGATCCAAGAAAGCTTGCCTGAAGGCGTCCCAGGTGGGACACTGACGGCCAATGACTGCTTTCCAATCCGCGGCTGCTCCACGGAGCTTTCCCAGAGCGACGGCGAGTACGGTTGAAGGCTCCCACGAAGCTAGGTTTCGAGTTCGTTCCAACTCTTCAATCCAGTGGGACGCTGAAATGCTGCCGTCTCCATTAAATGTAGGAAGCGATGCGGACAGGTCTGGAAGGGTCGTGACCTGAACTGGCGCTGCAGCGCGTTGTGACACTTGAAGGAGCTGTTGAAGTAAACCCGTCAGCAACTCGGTACTTTGGGCTGCATCGAAGCTCGAAGGAAGCGGCGTAGTGTTCGGGCGCTGGCTGGACGCTGAGGAATCTGGGGAAGGCGACAAAGGCGTCATTGAGCGGTTTTGGGCTATATCGGCGAGGAGACGATTGATCACTTCTTCCTTCGGCCCCGTAGCGTCCAGGTTTCGGCGAACCAACTCTTCACGGAGGAAGTCTGCTGTAAAGCCGGCGAGGTCCTCAGGCGTAGCCTCGTTCCAGTTCACAAGCGGCATGGCGTTCACAAGAAATTAGCAGAAGGAGCACAAGACTCACGAGAGACGAAAAAGGCGGGCAGGTCAAGTTGGTTCGGCTCTGCAGGCGAGCTACTTCATCGGGCGGGTGGGCGTCAGCACGACGGTCGGCGAAACAAAAGGCAAAGGCACGAAATGACTCGGACGAAGCGGCCGAAAGGCGTATCGGGCGGCGGACGGTAAACACAGGACGGAGCGCCGCGCGGCTAGTCCGGCGGATCACTTCACGAGGCGGGCAAAAGGCGACGTTCCAGGCATGGTTCGGAGTCGACTGCGCCAGTTGTGAGGGCTGGGCGGGCTAGGCATGAAGGCTGAGAGGCGTTGTGAACGAGGAGAATGCGCTTTATTCGAACATGAAAACGTGCCGACCGCGCCGGAGGCGGGAGCGAGATTGATAAAACGTGTCCCCGGCCCTCGCTTGGGCTTGGAGTTTATCTGAGTAAAGGCGCCGCAGGTGGCGCTGCCGTTTGGAGTATCCGCTGATCCGTTCAGAATACCCGGTACCATTAAGCGTGGACAAACAGACAAATGTACAGACAGACAGACCAAAATTTTTGCGTTGAAGGTCCCCAAGAAAGACTATCGTCTTTAAAAAAAGTCGCCCGTGCAAAGCACGGAGATTGATAACGATGCGTCACGGCTGCTTATCTCTCACATGTACTTTGCCAAATGGATGAGGGGGGGGCGGATGCCTGTGCGCGCGCTTATCCTTTGGTGGAGGAATCGTGTGCCGTCGGCTTTCACTGAAACGAAATTGCCGTGCCCAGAAAGGTCACTTTGGTCTCTGCACAGGCCCCTTTTGCGAAAACAGCACACTTTTCATACAGAGCGAGGTGTAACAACTGGGACACTTGTTAATTTGTACTCATCGGTACCTGTGATTACGTATCGTGCATCGTTCTTGTTTAAACAGCGCGTCACGTGTTGCGCGGTAAACGTTGCGAGTTCACTCTCGTCCTGTGAGTAGTGTTTTTGTGCGTCATTTCTGTGTGCGCAGCGCGCTGCACGTTTCGATCTGCTTGCAGTTCTCAGCGTTACATTCCAAGTTGTTCCTGTCGCTTTTATTGCTTCGCCCTTTCGGCAAAATTGGTATTTTTTTATTTTTTTATGTATTTACTGCTTTTAACCTACCGCTGCATGCCCTCAGAGCTTGTAGATTGCTCTCGCATCACCGCAACCGCGGTTTTGTGTGTAGCGGTTGCAGAAAACGGTAGTTAATTTTACAATGCCCATGAGCTTGGCTGCGCACGCGCCTTCAAAACTAAGTCATTTTATGCCATTCACCATAGCATCTGCCGCAGTTTTCTCCGCAGAGTTTGTGGAAAGCAGTGTTGCTTTGACTGGTTGAGCGCACACTTTTGGGGTTCTGTCAGTACGTCGTCGCCATACATGATCACGTCAAGAGCAACCGCGGTTTCGTCCACAGCGGTTGTGGCAATGACAATCACACGCACTGTAGAAGACGGTGCATGCGCCGGTCGCACCGTACTTCCGAAGCTTCGAGTACGCTGTTCTCGGCCTTCGTTCGACAGTTTCCGTACTAAAGTTCATATCACCCGCCATGATTAGGAAATGTGTTCGGAACATTCGAATTGAGGCCCAATGAACATAGCAAAATTTGGCAGTGGATTTTCAAGAATTCGTATCTGCCGCAGTTTCGCATCACTGATTACACTGTACGTTTAGACGAACGCCTCTTAAACTCATTGATAATAAAATTGGGTAGGTTCGAAAAGCCTGGAGCATATTGAGCTCCTTTTTTTGTCAGTGCGGCCAGATCTCGCACAGAAACTTCGATTTCCGGGAGACTTTCAAGACAACCGTACAACCGGAAAAAACGGTCAAAATCCGGGAGTCTCCCAGCCAATCCAGGACACTTGGCAGGTATGTGCTGCGATATTACATGTTGCATTGTCAAGCATGTATACAAGACAACCAACAGAGTTCCATCTTTATCGACTGTTATTGACTTTTTTCCCTGTTACAAATAAGTGACAACACTAACATGCAGTAAATTATGTACCTTCTTTTTTGGAGTCTACATTAGCACTGTGGTGGGTATATTCTAGGCTTTTGTCAGTGCAACAATAGCGCGGTACTTTGGTAGTCACACTTAGAGAGCTTGTGGTATACTAATGTTCTGACTTCACAGAAGTGCTATCACTGTCAGCCCATTCCGGGTCAGTGATCTCCCATATGCCCCGCCTTGTGCCAGCCAGTTTCATTTCATCCCTGCAAACTTCATTTCACCATTCCATCTAACTGGCTGCTATCCTCTCCTGTGTTTCTCATGCCACTGCTTCTAAAACCACTGGTTTAGAAGAATAACCACTGGAAATATGACTTTCCTGTGTTGGCATGACATTGTAGAACAACCTGCCGGTCCAAGCAAGTTGTAAGTCGGCATCCGTTACGTGTACTACGTGTTTCTCTGTTCAGGTGTTACATAGCGCTGCACCGAAAAAGTTTGAAACATAATCCTTTCATTTTTATGCCTAAATTTCACTACAAGGAACAGTAATAGACTATGGAAATGTTTTGTATTATAACCTAACACGATGTTAAACTGACTTATGCTCTGTATGCTGACCAGATGTGCTATCAAACAAATGTATAAATATATTGCATGTTTTATTTAGGTTAGAATACAAACCTAAACCAATTCAACTGACGCAAATAAATCAGATATTTTCGACATGTTATGTATGGTAAGCTAAGAAGTTGTTAAATGATTGCATACGTTAACTGATTGTATATTAATGTAGCTTATAGATGCACAGATCCATATTAGCACTCTGCTAAGAATCCAGACGTTTGTAACATGCTTTTTGTTTGACCCTATTTCATTTTAAAAGATTGTAATTCAGTTCCAATTCCTTGGTAAGTACTATTCAGTTCATCAAATAATTCCCAGTCATTTGTCATGGCACACTCGGGTCCATTTATTGCGGTCAACTAGAGCAACAGTCACCCCGGTTGCTCGCCAACTTATTCTGCTGTCTCCAGATCTCTTCATATTACATTCAAACCTCACTATAACAATGGTGTGTTTTATAGCAAAATAAGTTCGTTATAAAGGTATATTCCTAACACTATATCTATTGCACGGCTACTTTTAATTTACTTCGTTATAGCTAATATTCCGTTATACTGGGGGTTCTTTGTATCGAGGTTTGAGTGTATCTCTATCGCTTTCCAAAGCATCGTAGGACGAAAAATGCACTGCTTCTAAGTGCTTCAGAAAAATACAGAACACGGATGCTAGCTTCATGCCAATGGCTCACTCACCTCATCTTGAATCTGACGCTCTGAACGGATGGCAGGAGTCCGAGCAAGCGCAGAATGTCAATCCTGCAAAACAACAGTGCTCACCTTTCAAGAAATGCGAGGTTTGTACCGGTATGGCCTATTAGTATAGCAAACAAAAAGGAATCCTTGAAACAAAATTTCCCGAAGGAAAATGAGACAGCAAAAGCGGCTCGCCAAAAGACTTCTTTCACAAACCAGCTGCACCTATGCTTGCATGTAGGTAATCAATGAGCTACCAGCTTATTAGGAGACTTAGTTCAATAGCAACGGCTAACCTTAACAGTAACTATCTGGTCAAATTTATTGCATTTACTAATTAATCAGAAGCAGTTAAAGTGTAGCTGAACAAAACTGCAGGCAACAGTAGTATACCTAGCACTTTGAAGAAAGAAAGGCACATAATGAAGTGACCAAAGCAACAGACTGGCAATACTGCCCAACAGACTGGCAATACTGCCCAGTCACATTGCTGCTGCTAAAAAGTGATGTCATAATTAAGTAACGGCTGACTGATAAGCGGCTGGTCCACCAGCGTTAAAACCACTCACAGTAGATTTTTTGGACGGTTACAACAGCATCTCATTTTTTCAGGAGTTTTGTTTCAAGGTCTTTTTACACTTGAAAATGATTCAAAGGCCACTCAGGTGTCTGTACAGCAAACAGTTGAACCTTGCTATAACCACACCAAATACTACTTCAATATAGCCTTGTCGACATCGGATAAGAGTTATAGGCGTATATTTATTTTTTGCCAATATTGGCGGCAGACATTTTAGATTCGTTCGTTGAAGTGGTGTTAGTTATATAGAGGTTCCAGATTGAGAGGGCCATTGAGAAGGGAAGTTGTCAAAAGAGAAAAGAGTTGGCAGCATCTGCCCAGGCATGCAAAATGCCAACCGACGTATATTTACCTTCCTCGATAAGCCTCCAAGGTTGCCTGGCCCTCAACCACATCACTAGGCTATCTATAACCCTATGCCTTAAAACTAGGACACTCAAGCAAGCACTCCTCATCAAGAGCACTCAACAGTCTTTATCTCTTTTCAAGAACGGTGGTGTTGAAGAGCAAACAAGCTTCACAGGAGTACACTGTGTTATCAGCCGGCTGGATGAAGGGCACTGCATCCTTTGCTCAGTTGATACTGCCAACAGCGGTCGCCCGAAGATATCGCAGCAAGCGGAACACAAACCGCTCGCAACGGATCACTGTCCGTTGCGTCACACATCTTTGCAAGAGTCGTCGCTGCGTGACGAACACGTGACGGAGGTGTGGTGTTGCGTCTGCGGCTAGCCTCCCTACTTATCGAGGGCTTAACGAAGAAAACAAAGAACAAATGGCTGTCTGCGGGATCGTTGAGCGATAGTTGTAGAATGTCAGTTTCCTCTTGGCAGAAGCGTGCTGTGGAACGAGACGATCTGCTGAAACTTTTTGTTGTGTGCTCGGCAGTGGATGGCGAGGTGGAAGCTGTGTTGCTGGTACTCTGTAAATGCCAAAAAAAAGAAAGTTCCCATCCGGGCTATGACAAGAGCCTTCTCTCTGTCTTGCTACAGAAGCACTAGTGGAAGCCAAGCAGTACACTGGGCACAGGAAGCGTAGCAGGCAAACACTCTGCATGCAACTTCAATCTGCGATCACATGACCACACAGATTTTGCATTACTACTCAGCATCTGCAGCTGTTTTGGTTCAAAGCACACAGTATGGTGGCAATCATCAATAGCTAATCTTATGCTCAGCTAACAATGAAGCTTTCTCCCATTTATCTCCAGCCCATCTTGTCTTGTGCTAGTCGATTACATTTTAGGCCTTCAAATTTTTTAAAATTTTTTACTACACCTAATTCTCTGCCGTCCTCGGCTGTGCTTCGCAACTCCTGGTATAATTGACCATATGTTATCAGTTCTTGTTACAGCATTTCCTGCCCCATTTTTGCCCCCGTTAAATCTTCTAGAAGGTGGGCTAACCCAGATGGTTCCCCGATCAACTTCGCTGATTTCCTATGTCTCAGAGCTACTACCATCTCTTGTTCCATGACACGCTGTATGGTTCTCAACTTCCCAAGTTTCAGTGCTATTTTCCAAGTTTACACCCCGTAATTCAAAGCCAGCAAAATGCAATGGCTGTACACTTTAAACTTTAGTGACAGCGGCAGGTTGCCTGTGACGAGTTGAGAATGTGGACCACATGTGGACCAGCCCATTCTGATTCTTTTATGGACTTTTTGTACATTTGTAAGACTCCCTTTTAATATTTGTCCCTCATAGACATACTCTTGCACTGATGCAAGGTTCAGGTTGGGTACTGAAGGATTTCACTCTATAGTTGGGCCACCAGGCAATAGCCCTGTCTCCTATATATTCATCGTAGTACAGCAGAGGCTATCAATAAGGTAACTGCTCCACTGATATACAAAAACTGTTCTGTCGACGGCAGCGAAGTTTGTGGAAATATGCATCATTGCACGCTGTGAGATAGGGGCAAAGACACAAACAGAAGCCTTATTTCCACTGACAAGTCCAGTCATATAGCTGCATAAACATTACAGAATGACATCCTGCCATTCTGCAAGTGTAAATTTAACCATCCTACCAAAGGGAAAGTGCAGTTTGGATCATCCACTTGGCCTGAATAGCGTTTCCTTTTTCACTTGCTCCACAAGCCAATGAAGTTATTGAGCGCTCTCTGCCAGCCTAACTTGAAGGGCGGAGAGTCAATTTTAAGAAGTCTTTTCTAATCAACTGCAATAAACAGTGAGAATCTGAATTAAAATACAATGCCGAAAATCCAGATCTACCAGTCCAGTTTGCAGATTTGATCGATCGGATGAAGCGTGGATCAGAGAACCAGTAGTACCATAAATGACTGCTGACTTGTAACCAATAACCACTTAAAACTTTATTACCACACACTAAATAAGCTGCATATGCTTTAAAGCACAGCTCAATGGCATAAGAAGCGAAAATTCCAGCTCAGGAATATATACATTTTATTGCGCATACACGAGAAGGCAGCCACAGGTAAATACGACACTTTCATTCACACTTCACTTGCACACCTTTTAGAATGAGAAGTCGAAATGTTCCCACCTTTGCTTTGGAGCCAACATGGCACAAAATGCCTTTCGTATGCATGCACAAACCACTAACTTACCTGCTGCAAGTGCTAGGGGGAAACTCCTACGTTAATGCCCAAGAAAACAGCCTAGCAAGCATTTTTAGTTTGTGACAGAAATCGAAACAACACAGTTGTTTCAATTTTAATAGTGCTGGAAAATATAAGTAGGGCTGTGCAAATGGTTGACTTTCGAGACCTAATCAATTATAGTCAGACGTGAATGGAATTATCTTGGAATATGGCACACATTTGCACAACACAAAATGGTATTTAAAAGTAGAATTTGCAAGTTTAGCATTAAAAGCACCAACCAGGACCACATATCCGAAATCTTTGCAACCCTTCACAGACTGTGAATGACCACTGTAAAGCAAGTATGACTTCCTGGGAGACATAGTATGTGCTATGCGGACACGGATGAATCTTGCAGCGATTCTGTATGTTAATCAGAAATGGTTTAGGTTTTAAATTATACAAAAAAGTTATAAGTAAAATAGCACCTCGTCCACAAGAATACATATTTGAAGCTAGATTAAATAAGAGGATTTATTTCATAATCAAAATATTTTCAATATTTGCACACTCCTACTTATTCATTCCTTGCCATTCATTTATAAGGCTTGCAGGAACACCACAATAAAAAAAAATTGTGAAATACCATATCTGGCCTTGTCAACTAATGGAGCTGGATGGCCAGTGCTTGATCATGCAAACACAATGCTCCTAGGCTCGCAATGCATAGAACAAAGCATGTCAACTATGCAAATACCATGCACATAGGTTTCTATCCTGAAACAGCTTCTATGATGAAATTATATTATATGTTCTGCTTTTATTAGATGTTTTCAATTGATGCTGGCAAAAAACACTGATACTGCCAATGTAACAAATTTAATTGCCTAATTCATGCAATCACAAACGGATATGTGGAGAAGTTGAAGCCAATTAAGCTGAACATGCCTTGTTTTGGCTACCAAAATAATGAGCCTCATTTTAGCTTGTTTAATTAGTAACAGAATATTGGACTCTCAAATGAGTGCCTCTGAAATATGTCCTACTTTGCAATTTAATGCACACACACAACGCAGTGCAACACGAGCCATCCTCAATAAAAAAATGAACAGAATGAAAACATGGGCACAGGCATACGCACAGGGGGTGGGGGGGCGGCTGCCCACCCTGGTCACCTTAGAGGAGGGGAGGCACAAAGTTGAAGGGAGGGGGCACAGCAATTTGGAGAGAGGGGAGCATAGCATGAGCCCCACATATTGATTTTGTCCCCCCTGAAGGGGAACCTTGCGCACGCCTGTGAAAATGGACATCAGACTCTGGAGCTTTGTGAACATGTAGCGCCACCTGCCGGTGCTGTTTTGGGTAGTGCAAAGCTCAATTCCCTCGCACAGTTTGCTATGCAACCAGGTGCAACCAGCACGGTCAAAACGACAATTGAGCTAAATGTCAGGTGTGTTTGAGCATTGAACACTCTGTAAAAGAACCTTGAATTTATCTCCACTGTCGGAGGCGTCACGAACCGTTAAGACGTGCTTGCTGGTTTACAATCCAGAATGATGGCGGAAAATAAAGCGGAAACAACAGCTCCGGGTTCTATAAAGAAAGACCTCAGTCGAGGCTACTGTTGCATTGTGAATTGCCACGGACGTAAAGGACTTAATTTTTACTGATTTTCGTAGCTGTTGCGAAGCAGAACGGTGAGAGAGCTGGATACAGGCCCTTGCGAACTTGTTGGGTAAGGGAATCACTCGTGTTCTCCACAGCTGGCCGCATGAGAAATCGTGATAATGTCTGTCTCCCGTTAAGTTTTTGAGTAGCCTTGATGGAAAACAGTGGTAACTTTGATTATAAAACAGAACACAGCTTCCGACCACGGAGTGCGCCATGCAACAGTGGACTGGTGATGCGCACGATAAACATTGCACACGCCATGACCGCCGATAATCTTAGGTGGTTGCCACCACACAACGTCACGCACATAGGCTTTGAAGGTTCTCAGTTTCAGCTTCAACTAGCAAATGTGAAGTACATTATACCGGTAAATCGCAAAATGTTGGTCGTGTCCACAATGATGGTTTTCGTGCCATTGGTCTCAGAGATTGCCGGAGCAATTTCGGAGGCCTTAGTTTTGCCTCTCGTTGCACATCAAGAAAGTGGACACGCATGTATTCCCACTTGCAGTATATACAAACGGAAGACAACATTCTAGGATGCGTAATAAAAGTGTTCAACGTACAGGAAGCAAGAGATGGATGAAGAATGTAACCACAATGGTGAAAATCACTGGGGTCATCTGTGCCGGATGAAGTGAGCTTCGTACCACTGATCCTAAAATACACTGCTGGTGTACACACTTCATCCCTTTGGCAACATGTGTATGCCAAAATTTACGTATCATTCAGGCGTTGCAGAACGCATGTGAAAGTGCTTACCTCAAACTATGTCATACAATGCTTGCTTGCACTTTAATTGCGAAATGTAACTTAGAAGTGTGGCAGCTTGGGCTAGTTGGTATGGCATGACGATAGTTATAGCGCGAGAACAAAACGACGACACAGAGACAAGAAGGACACGAAAGACACGAGCGCTATCTTTCGTGTCCTTCTTGTCTCTGTGTCGTCGTTTTGTTCTCGCGCTATAACTATCGTCTTTAATTGCGAGTTGCAGCACGCCGAAATAACTGAAACATCTTTAGCATTGTGCCCAGAGTTCGCTTTCATGAGCTTCCTACTTTTCTGAAGCGAGGTAGGATTGACGGAACAAGCTTGCCAGGTCTTTGATTTTCAGAAAACCGTACCTCAATAGCAATGAAATAGAAGCATCTATGCACGCTTGCTTGTGAACGGTTCTCTTTGCACTACCCAGTTATGGTCAGCGCGGCGATGAGGGCACTTGTGGTGGCATTTTTCGTAGTGCCGCCTGGGCAGAGTCTGATGTCTACGAGGGTTCCAATGGGCACTTTTTACAGGATCATTTTAAGAGATTATTCGTGGCATGGGGAAACACATGGACATGAAAAGGCACAAAGTTTTCGGTGTTCTTTGTGAATGTGCTTTTCTGCACTACCAAAAAGCTTTCCAGAATGCCAAGAGCAGCTACCTGCAAAATTACAGCATCCTTGGCTGCACTTAGCTTATATCAAGCTGCATGCCAATGGGATGCAATGTGGAGAGTAATCACGCTCTAAGAGCAGTTGGCACACTTGAAAAAAAAAGAGGGTGGAACTCTGACCATTCTCACAAGCAAGGCATCTCCAGAAGTGTCATATTAACACCTCACCTGTTCTTTTTTATCTTTTGTCTAAGCGGCTCTGTGGCCATCATCTTTACTGTCGGCAGTATACATACTGCAAATTCATAGCTTACAGATCTAAGCTCTGTACTACGGCGGTCAATTAATTTACGGATGTCTGTGCGCATTGCTGCGCGCAATGAAGAGACTGCAACAAGCTGCAAGAATTTTAAACCTTCGAACTTGTGGAACTCGCGTCTATTACATATTTCTTCGTCGCATGCGCGTCTACCTCCTAAGAATACCGATATAATTTACGGCCAGGCTGGACAACACGGCTAACTATAAGATCATCAAAACCATGTCTCCAGCACCTAAACAGCCGAGCAACTCTGTTCAACATCCACGCTCCTGCATATCTGTCAAGAGCGGTTAGAAAAAAAAACAATAAAAAAAACACCCTGTAGCGCGATCTGGTGTGATGCAGTCATGACAGCGATTAACAATCTCCCGGGATACGACTATAAGCGAGTTCAAGGTCACACGTGCCGAAGAGGCAAGCGGTGACGCAATGCGACAGCTTCTATTTATACGACAATGCGACCAAGAAATTATAAAAGGCCCTTCCTGGAAACGAGCCAACACAGATGCCGCGCGATACGTTTAATAAGGCTGAAACAAGCACGACGCCTGACCATGTCATCTAACACTGCCGCATCAACTCGAGATGGGTTAAACGACCCCGTTGCGTGCCCTGGCGCCATGGAAGTCTATCGCTACAATCACATCCGATCGAATGATCAATTGAAATGAATGAATGAAGAGCGTCGACCACTGGCCGGTAACTCACCTCAGCCTCGACGAGCTTTTCGACACGGACGGCTTGAGCTAATTTTTACAGGCCTGGGCGAACGGGCTGTCTGTATTTGGTTTGGACGCTGTGTGTTAGTCAGAACACAGATCAAATATTTGCCCGTCGGTCGTTTTTATCAGCGCTAATGCCGCCTCTCCCCCTCTACCAGCTGACCTCACTGTCGCCGCTAAATATCGCCGCACAGCCCGATGGGATGAATGAAGTCGATTGAATCCGCTAAGCAGGCCGGTTTTGGTTTCGCTTTTTCCTTCGAGAGTCGGCTCTCTGCCATAGTTCGTGCGTTACCAAACTCAATGATGCAGCCAACACAGATTCTTCATAGTACTGAATTACGTAAAGAAGAAAATAAAAAGTACCATAAAAGACACCACATATTAGTGTCACCATGAGTCAAGTCTGCATGTGGTGTCATTCATGGTGTATTAATATTTTACATTTTTTATGGTCGTTACGCACTGAAGTCGAGAGCTGGACGGAAACGCATCTGGATAATGCTTGAGTACAATTAAAATAAACGCCTAACACGAATAACGGAAACATAAGGGCAATATGTTTCGTAACATGACATAGTTTCAAAAGATTTGTGAACAAGGCCCCCGTGCGGTAGCCGAAGCGTCTTGATTCCGGGCAATGCCTCCTAGAAAAATTATGCCTGGAACACGAGCCACGAACGCACCGCCCTGCCCTCGGATTTTACCGTCCTCCTCCGGTACGAAGGCGAACGCCTTTGGCGGTCGTCCCATGCAAGCACACAGCAATGCTTTCACAGTTGCCTCCACTATGGTGGCTAGAAGGGGAGGTGGGAGCATCGTGCGCTGCGGAGGTTGGCGGAGAGGGTGTCAATTGTTCATGCCGACGAGCGGTGGCGCGCGTGTCGTTTTTTTAGATGCCCCTCTGGGCCGAAGCGGAGCACGTGCGTTTCCGCGGCTTGCGTTCGTACTGTTCGCACGATGCTCGAAGTTTTGAAGCCTCTTCACACCGCATATCGTGATGGCTAAACCAGTGAAGCGCCAGACTCACTGCTTCGCGCCCGGATGCTCTACCGGGTACGTTTCAGCCCGAAAGGCAGGTGTAAAAAGGTCTTTTTACCGTACCGAACGATGAGGACCGGCTGAAAGCATGGCAGCGATACGTTCCACGTGGTTAGGGTGGCTAGAATGGGGCCATTCTAGCCATTCCTGCCATTCTAGCCACCCTAACGTGGTGACAAACTGCTCGACCGAACTGCAGTCCTGTGCGAGTTACACTTCGAGCAACGGTTTATTGTGAGAGATTACACCCACATCGTGAATGGTGAAGTTGTGAAGATTCCTCGCGGCCGCCCATGCCTTACCGACGATGCAATACCGTCTATCTTCCCAAACACGCCGAGTTATCTCTCTAAAAAGCTTCCTCAGAAGCGCAGCTCCCGGACATCGAGAGGAGAAGTGCTCGGCAAAAAAAGAAAAGTGAACGATGAAGACGAACTTCCTTCGATGGAAGTGTGGCAGCTTGGGCTAGTTGGTATGGCATGACGATAGTTATAGCGCGAGAACAAAACGACGACACAGAGACAAGAAGGACACGACCTTCTTGTCTCTGTGTCGTCGTTTTGTTCTCGCGCTATAGCTATCGTCCTTCGATGGAACACGATTCATCCTTAGATGTGACAACGAACGGTGAACGTGTTCCCGGCGCGTCGTGTACAGTGAAAAAACTGGAGCATATGAAAGGCGAGAAGCTTCCAAGCAAATACTGGTCGATGTACCTACTTGCGGATGCCCCGAACGCTGTTGCGTTTACTGTTTGTGCTCAAGATGGTGATAGTGTGTGCTTCAAGAAACTGGTGTTGTGCTCTGCTGAGGATACTTGCTATCATTGTGTAGTGTTTGTGCAAGGGAAAGTTGTAAAAAAAAATGGACGTGTTTGATGTGAATGCTGTGGAAAGCCTCCCCCACTCCACCAACGAGATGGTTGTGTGCTCCGGTTTTGAGCAAGGTGCTATTCCACTGGAGCGGCTTAACAGTTCCAATCAATCAAAATACAGAACGCATGGAAACAAGTTGTACAGCAAAAGTTGCGCAGGCATGTCTCAAGATCAAAGGACTTGTATACACTGCAGGTATCTAAGGAAACTGCTTTGGAACCAAGCATCCTATAAGAAGAGAAAAGCTAGAGTGGCTACTGGTTACCGTGCTTCGAAGAAACTAATTATGCGGGGAAGACAGTTGAGGCGAGAAAAGGCAAAAGTCAGTGAACTAAAGCAAATGCTTGCGAAAATGAAGCAAAGTAATTTTGCCCTCTCTGAATCAAACCTTCAGGAGAGTCTGTCTAAGCTGCCTGAGAAACAGCGGCAGCAGGTACAAACATGCTTTGAAGCAGCGAAAAGGAAAGGAACACAGGGGATGAAGTACAGCGATGAATGGCTTCTGGACTGCATTATAATGCGCATGAAAAGCCCAAAGCTGTATGAGCATATTCGAAAGCATAAAATGATGGTCTTGCCAAGCAAGAGTTGTTTGAACAAGTACGTGAGAAATTATAAGAGCAACTTTGGGTCCAATGATAATGTTCTTGCTGCGATCGAAGAAAAAACCAAAAGTATAGATGAGTTTCACAGGCACGGAGGTCTCTTAATTGCCAAGCTGAAGCTCTTGGAGAGCCTCAAAGTGACAAGCAGTGGACTCATCGAAGGTTTCGTTGACTTGGGCAAATACACTTCTCTAGATCAAAGCACACAAATGTGTGATCACGGTCTAGTAGTATTGTACCAGCCATTTTCAGGCAACTTTCAGCAAATCTTAGGGGTTTCGGCTCCCATGGAAATGTGAAGGCAGATGTGCTTGCAAAAATCATTGTCGATGCAACACTAACTGCCGAGAAGTCTGGGCTTTTTGTGGATTTTGTGACCACAGATGGTGCATCCTGGAACAGGAGTATGTGGCGACAATTTGGCATTGTAGTGAGAGAGGAAGACGGGACGGCGGCCAACGTGGTCGTGTCTTCTCTCGTCACTTTATTCCACGCCTGAAGCGGAGCCGCGGTCGGCTGTCCACGTCCGAACCGCCAAGTGCCCTAGCTTTTCGAATCCTCGCGCAGCTCGAGCTAGCATCAGCTGCGCGAGAGGCGCGGCGCGGTGATTGAGAAATAATGATGGTGATGATGGCACTACAGGGCTCCCCCCCTAGCGCTTTGTGCGATTTGAAGGCACATAAAAAAAAAGAAAGATAGTGACAAAAGCTATATACATGAACGACAATCCATAAAGTGTTCATTTGGAAAGTCCACGTTGTCAACGTTGATGGGCCATCGGTAAGCAGCGGGTCTCTGGCGGGCGACACTGGGAATGGCGCAGCGGACGAGGGTGGCTACGCAGGCACGCTGTTGGAAGGAGCGGGCGAGGGTCGTGATGAAGGGGCACTTTTGTTGATAGTGAGTACCAACGACAAGGCGAAAAATGGTCAAGGGCCGAGAACACACACGGGCCGTTTCGGTGCGGTCGATTGTCGCGCGCACTCGGACACTGATGCTTAAAAGATGGACTGTAGCATGAGTGTAGTACGGCCAGTCCAGAAGGTCTAGTGTCACTTCTTTGTTGGAGCTGGTGGGAACGTCGACGGGGAGTGCGGTCAACCCTGGTAGTGTGTTTACCGTGCTGGTACCGTCGCTTCCGGTGGCACATTACCGGCTGCGGCGGCCGCCTGGTCGGCCGAGTAGGGTGCAGATAAGTTGGAAACGGTGCGCTTTGGACCGATGAAGTGCGACATGGTTAACAGTGATAACGAGCCGGCTCAGAGGGCACTGATAGATTGCTTTTTCCGACCTTTGGCGATGTGTAACGCGCAGGCGTACGCCGATGAGTCGTCGCGTTGTTCGAGCTAGAACCGACGTTTGGTGATGCGAGATCGAGCGGCGGGTATGTGGCGTCACAGTTGTCATGGGCCGTCGACGGCGTTAAAATGCTCAAGCACGCGTACGTAGTGGTAGGCGGATGGTTTAACTGCGCATCTGTTGAGGCATGCACGGTGTGCTCCACCTGTGGTGAGCCAGGCGTGCGGCCCTCGGGATTTCCTGACATGGTCACAGCATCATGCACGTTCAGTCGTGCATGCTCAGGGGCTTGAACTTCTGTAGGACACATCGAGGATGATGTTAGTAGGTGCTGGCAGTCCACGAGGTTTTGAGCAGCAGGCACCGGTGTGCAGGGGAAACTGATGGCGTGCAGTGTCACAGCGGGCTCTGGGTCCATAGTGTGAGTGGTGTCGCGGGCCTCCACAGGTGCCGGGACAGGCGGGGAGTCTGCAGGAAGGTCAGCTGGCCCAGCTGAGGTCGTCGAATCGCCCGGGACAGACAGTTCAGCCGACCAAGTCTCTGCAGCGAATGCGACGGTGCACGGGGCAGCGGCCGGTGTCGAATCTATGTGGCCAGTTGCCGGCAGGGGAATGGTCTGGACTGGCTGTGGGGCGAGAGGCGTCCTGGAAGGTGATGAGCCAGGTGCAGTTGTGTCATTTTTGGGAGGAGGAGCATGTTTAAGGCCGTAAAACTTGAGCACGGCATCTCGCAAGTGATCGTACGGGCGAGGGCTCCAGGAGAAGTATGTGAGGTGGTGTTTGAGGTCATGTGGAAGATGGTATTCCAATACCTCGTACATGAGCTCTTGGATCCAGATGCCGTTGTGATACAAGGCCACCGCAAACTCCTCGAACCACGACTCTAGGCGAGAGGTCCGGAACGGGGGCAGTGGCGGGTCGAATTGAGGCTGCCAGGTTTGTGCTGACTGGAACATGGCCGCGTAGCTCGGTGGCGAAAGGTCACCTGTGCCAGACTCCGATGCGGGCGGCAAGGTGGTCGTCATGGAGTCTGGTGGGGCCACGGTGTCGCGTGCCGTCACTTTCGTGGAAAACATGGAGGTAGCAAGCATGCCAGAAGGACTATCGGCCGAGGACTTCGAAAAAACGCACTTCGTAGTGGACAGGTTGTCGGCAGCAGGAACGACTTCAAGAACCTCGTCGGATTTGTGACCGGGTGCGAGACTCACTGCGCTAGTGGCCGGACCCAAGGTGGAGGGAGACGTTGTCGGGGAAGTTAGGTTGCGGTCAGATGAGAGCTTCGGGCCGGAGGGTCCAGCACGCTGCGACGCAGGGAAAACCTGAGAGTCGCGGGTAAACGGCAGCGGGTGGTAGGTGAGGCCATAGCTGGCAAGCAC